TGCCACTCCTGCCTGGTGACTCGCAGGACCAGCAATGGGGCCAGCATGTGCCTGCTGGACTGAGGCACGGGAGCATTTTGCTTCCCAGCTTCCTTTCCCCCACCTGGATGGTGCGGCCTCAACTCCCCAGCAGCCTCTCACAAATGACCAGCACTGCCTGCACACAGCTGCAGGGATGGGCAGGAGGGCAGGGAAGGAGATGTGCTGCCAGTCCCACTGTGCACGCCAGGTGCCAGCGCAGGGGAGCTGGGGCACAGCTGTGACACGGGGCTGAGACCCACAGGGAGGGACACGGAGCCAGCTGAGTGGGAAGCACTGGGCACGGCTGACTCATCCAGAGAAGGTCCTGGTCTCACCAAGGAGAGCCTATCCCTGGCAGCAGCTGCCACCCAAAGGGACTCAGCAGAGGTCAGGGACATTTGGACGGAGCTGTGGGGCTGCGTGAGGGTGGGAGAACTGAGTCGGCTCCGGACTGAACTCTCAGCAATTCTGTGCAACCCATGAGGGGGGGCAATCCTCACCTTCCTCACTAAGAGGCTACAGTCAGCCCTCCAGAAATTACCCACCTCTCTCCTCAGGATCTCTTCTTGCTCTGCTGAGCTGCAGCCACCCCAAGGACCCAGCCCAGGCAGACACCTGCCACTGCAGCGAGCTTTTAGGAACAATTCAACAAACTCGCAAGACATGTTTTTCTGTGTCAACAAGGACTTGGACCTTCCCACCACAGCAGCCATCCCAGGGCCAGGAGCCTGTGGGAGACTTTGGACTTCACCAAAGCCCTTCCCCAGGGGCTTCAAGGAGAAAAGGGAGCCCCATGGCACAGCTCTCCTTGTGCACCTCCATGGGCAAGATCACCCCCATCAAAAACAATAAGTTGGTGAAGGCATTGCACAAGCAACACCTTCACCACTGCCCTCAGCATCCCATTGTCTACATCCTGCTGTCAGGCTGTAAGGCAACAAAGGGGATGAAGGAATATGTCAGCAGAGAGGAACGCTCCTCAGAGACCTGTAAAACCACAGGTAGCTGCTCCCAGCAGAGAGCCCCTGGCAGCATCACAGAAACCACACACAGGTGCCCAGAGACTCTACTTCAGCAAAGGTCAAGCAGGCAGAGCACATCAAGGTCGTGTTGTACCCTGCTCCCAGCTGACACCCAGCCCCCACCTGCTGCAGGCACGTGCTCCAGAGCAAACCAAGGGCTGTTGGAGCAAACCTCGGAGCTGTTTCCAGCACTGGCACAGACACACGGGCAGGGAGGGCACTGCATCCCCTCGCTGCCCTCCCAGGGGAAAATATGCAAGCTGGTGGGCACCAGAAAGGCAGGGGGTTGTTCAGCCCCAGCAGGTCATCCTGGATCCACCTGTAAAGCCCCAGAGTAGGGACTGGCACCAAGAGGTTGGGTCCCCTGGCATGCTCCAAAGCACAGGCGGCAAAAAGGCAAACGGAAAACAGCACGTGATGGGCAGGAGGGCCAGGAGCGGCGGTGCTAAGCAGGAGTCTGGGCCCGGGCCAGGAGCCCCGCGAGGCACCAAGGCACTGGCAGTGATCGGCACAGTGCAGGGCAGTGAGGGGAGCCCGTGCCCAGCCACAGGTCCCTGCCCTGCCCGGCTGCTGTTGCCCGACTGGCTGGTAGTGCCCGGCAGAAGTGGGGGCTCGAGAGTCCCTGCCATTGCTAGAACAGGCTCTGGCCTGGGAAGGTGCCCTACGGGTCCCACACAGCTTTCAGGCAGGCAGCAGGGGTAAGTGGGCTCAGGCCTGGGGACCTGCACATGCCAGGGAAACTGGACGGAGAAGGGTCCAAGTACCCCTCTCGAGCCCCTTGCCCCGAGGCAGGGGTCTGCAGGCACGGGTAGAACGCGAGTAGGCAGGGGCGGAGGCGCTGGCAGGGGCCGTACCTGCAGCTCGCACCAAGCCACCTCCACGGTGGTCTCCGTGTCCAGCCCCTTGTAGACGGTCTTGAAGGAGCCGCGGCCG